GAAGGAAGAAAGAAAGCCATCTGCCCAAGACAGTGCCCCAGCCTGGCAGTGTAATCATGGTGATCATGTTTTGTCTCTCTGAGGAATGAGTAATTGACTGTGCCACCAATTTTTGCACCCTTTTAAAGGCTTTGCATTGGCCAAGCCCTAATGGCATGTATTTCAGAATCATAACAAGAACAGTTTGGGAATACCATCCCAGAATTCTGCCTCTTGCCATTGTGTCTTTTTTGACTATCACTTATCAATAAAACAAGCAAGAGTGAGCCAGATGCAAATGGGTGTAAGGCACTGTTTTTCACGATCGGTTTAAGTGTTAATCCAAATGCTTCTTACAACCACTTGTAAGTACATGCCTGCTTGGCATGTAACTTACAGTTCAGTAGCAAATCTTCCATGAGAATTCCTTTCATTTCCAACTGTCATTCCCGATAGTTTGCCAATAGGTAAAGCTTGGAAGGGTAAGGTCAAATGATAGCAACCCCAAGTGTTATATCAGTACACCTTATGTAGGACTTTTTTTTTTTTTTTTTTTAATTCTGAAGGGCCTAGGAGATCTTAGGTGAAAGGATGTTTATATCAGAGTCACTTGCCAGAAGAAAGACACTTCCATCAATAGAAACAGTAAAAGCATGTCTCAGATTTTATTTATCCCTCTAAATTCTGAAAGCACATTAAGGAAGAATAACAGCATTCCTTATTGGCTACAAATTGCTAATTAGTAACTAACTTCAATTTTCCCAGAGGTAAAATATTAACATTTTTTAAATGAAATTAAACATCACAATCTTCTTCTAATTGTTATAAAAATATTTAGCAGCAATATCTGTTTAATTATTCAGGAATCTCTTAGTAATATAAATATTATCAGCATAGTCATAAATATGTTCTGCTTTGTCCATAGACAATCAGCTATGGATCTGTTGCTTTAGGATTTAAATTAAGATCTATTTAAGGCTGCCTGCTGGCCACAAAATAATTACTTACCTTGCTAATGCCTGAATCTGTTACATTTAGCAGTCAGAAGTGTTCTTTGTTTTCATAAGTAGGGGAAAGTTGCTTTTTCTTGTATAAATTTCATTGTTGATGCTATTAAAGAGGATTAGGGTGGGGTTGAAGTAGTTGAAAATTTAATTAATCTAATCCTTTTAACAGGGATTGTTTTCATATTGATAATTCTCTGTAATAACAGTATTACAGATCACACCATGTGAAATATTTACACTAAATATTTTAGCATATAATCTCTTCTCCAGCTTTCTCTTTTGGGAATGGTAAGATTTTCAGCTTCTGAGGCTTTCTTTTTTTCTTCTTCCTTTCTCACCTAAGATACAGGGATGAAAATGAAATCTCCCCTCCCCCCTTTTTTTTTTGCTTTCCTCTGCTAATTTTCTCTTAATGTCCTTGTCTCTGAGTAAATTATGTTAATGGCCATCAAATCATTAATCTCCTAAAAAGCATGAGTGCTATGAAATAAGAGCAGTCAAATTGATTTTTTTTTTTTTTGTATCTACAGTCATTTGGTGCAGTCTCATTTGAAATGATTTGTTTATCCATCAACTTCAATAAATTATTGTGCTGCTGAAAATATCACTAAGACTAGAGTCAGATAAAGGATGAAACTGTCATTCTGGTCAACCTTCTCTGATCATCTCCAGTGTAAATTCGGAATTGTTCTTAATCTGCTCAAATGTCACAATATTGGGGAGACCTTCATTGACCTTCCCAATATAAAATTATAATCACTATCCTCCCAAAGCCATCCCCTCCTTTAACTGGCTTTTTCTCTATGGAAGTTATCATCAGTTAACATTGTAAAACATTATATGTTTGTTTGTTTAGTGCATCTCCCCCAGCTAGGATGGAAGGGCCACAGAAAGCAAGGACTTGGATTTGTTTACTGCTATATCTTTTATTTATTTATTTATTTATTTATTTTTAATTGCTTGTTTACTGCTATATCTTGAGAGCTAAGCCAAGTGCCTTAAATATAGTAATATAGTAGGCAATCAATAAACAATTGTTGAATGCATGAAAATTTTCTCTCATTTTTTGGGTGTCTAAAGCACCAGATCTGTGCAAATCAGTGAAAAACTTGATATAAATATGGGCATTTACCCTGAGCTGTCTGTCCCGCTGAGCACCAGTGGAAGGGTGCTCCTGCAGAACAAAAGCAAAGGCCCAGTGCTTTCTGTGGCCATGCCTTCATTAAAGGGCTAAAACTGAGTTGTGCTGTCTGTTTGATCACCACATGCTTACAATTTTAAGAGTCATACAAGGCAGAGAATCTCAAAGGATGCCCTCCAGGACAGGATGCCCTCTAGGACACTACTTCTGTAGAATATAAGTAGGGGTTACTAAACCAAAAAGGGGCTCCATGATCAAATAAGTTTATGAAACTAGGTATTATGTAAAGCTAAGCAAGGTTCTTAATTTCAAGGTATCTCAGATGTATGGTAATGTTCATTAGGGCTCTCCAAGGAAAGAAGATCTTAGTCTGTGTTTCCCAAACTCATTTGTTCTTAGACATTTCCTTTCTACCAGTCAACCCTGTTTCTAAGCAGGGTTACAACACAGGGAACTCCATTGACTTGGGAACTGAACAGGCCAGGCAAGGATAGGAGGAGCAGTTCTGGTTCTGCCTCTTGTTCTCTTTGTTATGTGACCTTGGGCAAGTTACTTAAAACTTCTCTATGCCTCAAATTTCCTCTTCCTTAAGGTAGGAATGAAAAGGATCACCCAGGATAATGTACATAAAGTGCCTGATGCATGTTTGCTAACTGAATGGTGGTTATTGCCAACACCTTTTATTGAATGTAGGAATGAATCCCTTTTGGACAGCTTTCTTCATTCACATCTTTAAGACAGGTTTGTTAGTATTGACTCATCCCCAGAATCAGTCTGATATGCCTCCTCCAGTGGTCCCAGCACACTGTCCTCATCTGAAAAGCTCTGTGAACAAATGCTGTCTCTCAACACGACTTTATACAAATGTCTGATAACTCACTCTGGAGTATTCCACAGAGTTGATTCCCTTTGTTTCCCTACCTCTGACCCCAGTCAAAGATGCTTTTGTCAAGAAGGTGGTAGCATCCAAGTTAATGACTGTGCAGATGGCTTCATGCTGACAGATTTTGAAGTGACCATATTTTCTCAGTAAATTTCAAATGAAGGTGTGATTTGTGCAAATCTGACCCCTCCCAGTAAAATGCACATTTACATATATTTAGAATTTATAAATCCTGACAGATTCCACAATATTTATAGCCCTCCATAAAAAGCCTTTGCCAGTTTGCAGAGCTTTGAATTTGGCTCTCTGGTATGCTTAAGAGAGTTTAAATAATAATAAATTTGGTGATTTATTCCACCTAGAACAGAAACTTATTTTCCCCCCTTGGCTCATTTTGAAGGGGATACTATAAATAGTGCCACAGACGCTGGGATCAGGAATAGGGAACTGAAATTCTTGAGATAAGTACAGAAACATTTCCATTATCACTGATTCTTTGAGTATATTTTTAAAACAGTTCTGTTCTTCAAATAATTACCTTCTCTCCTTTCTCCTGCCCCATCTCAATTATACTTGAGTCCCCCAAACCTGTTGCCAGCTTTAGGATTCAGTTGCATTAATGGGAAAGAGAGTGGAAGAGCTGACGAGGTAGGAGGTAGGAAAAGTTGCCTCTAGGGAGGCCAAAGCAATTCTCCAATGTTCATCTTATATTTCACAGACATCAGCTAGTAACTGAGTGTCAATTTCTAAAACATAAATTCTTTATTTGAGACCTAGGTCATGCATCCTCATAGTTCATGAAAAAGAAAAAAAAAAATATATATATATATATATATATAATTATAGTTACAAGAGAGAAAGCCTAAGGACAATGTCACCCATTCAATGCTTATAATTACCTACAACAGGATAAGAGAGAAGTACTTGAACAGTTGACTCCAAATGATAGTATTTGTTTTCTTAAAACCCAAATAAACAAAAATCTGGGAACCAGTCATTTACCATAGACTCTGCTGATGAAAGCTGAGAGCAGCCATTTAGTGTAGCGTAAGCAGTGTTATAACTTGTGATATACCAAGGAGATTTATTTCCAGCTTCTTGTTTGAGTGGGCTGTGAAGGAAGTAGCCTTTGTTAGAGGGAGAATATTAACAATAACTGACATCCACAGAGAGCCACCTATGGGCTGGCACAGAGCAGCAAACACATCAAGTGGCTGTGCTTTGATGTGGGCCACCCTCCTAATGCAGTAGTGGGTTTTCTCGTCCTGCTAACTTGGAACACACTTTCCTGAGCAATCCCATTATCTCTAGCTAATATAATAGGATGGCAGATGTTTGGACCAAGCCCCAGAGCCTGTAGTGTACCACATTTTAATGATTTGTGGTGAACAAAGTAAATGTTTTAAAACCAGACTTTATGAAGCGGGGACCGAGTTAATTATGATGGATTTGAGGCGAAGCCAAGAGAAGCTGAGCATTGTATGAGGGTATTGTCTCCCAAACAGGACACAGGTATCTACAGTTCATTCCTAATTCTAAAGCTTTGCTTGAAAAATGACATTTTAAAGACAGTGCTTTTAAGGAATGTCCTTGAGGCAGAGAGGGATTTCCCTTGATTCTCTATAGCATCTTTCTAAGAGGAAGCGGAGGTACTGAGCTGTTAGACAGTTGCTCGGTGTCTTTGTCCTTCTGTGACCACATGATGGGTCTAACGCATATGGGATAAATAAACTGTTTTCATTTCTTAAAGCCCGTGGAAGGAAACAAGACAGGAAAATTACCATATGAATTTTTCTTTTTCTTTTCTTTTTTTTTTTTTTTTTTTTTTTTTTTTTTTTAAGGTATTAAGGAAAATTCAGTTAGGTCCAATACAAATGATCACTGAAAACAGGTTTTCTTTTTCTTTCCTAGCCTCTCTGGCTCGGCCACACCTAGGGCAGGCCTTATGTGGCGCCAGTGCTTTGACGCAGCCTGTTTTCTTCTTCCTCAGGGCAACCCCTACATGTGCAATAACGAGTGCGACGCGAGCACCCCCGAGCTGGCGCACCCCCCCGAGCTGATGTTCGATTTTGAAGGAAGACACCCCTCGACGTTTTGGCAGTCCGCCACTTGGAAGGAGTACCCCAAGCCTCTCCAGGTTAACATCACTCTGTCTTGGAGCAAAACCATCGAGCTCACAGACAACATAGTCATTACCTTCGAGTCGGGGCGCCCGGACCAGATGATCCTGGAGAAGTCTCTGGATTACGGGCGCACGTGGCAGCCCTATCAGTACTACGCCACGGACTGCTTGGACGCGTTCCACATGGACCCCAAGTCCGTGAGGGACTTATCCCAGCACACGGTCCTCGAGATCATTTGCACAGAAGAGTACTCCACGGGGTACACGACCAACAGCAAAATCATCCACTTTGAAATCAAGGACAGGTTCGCGTTTTTCGCGGGACCTCGGCTGCGCAATATGGCTTCGCTCTACGGACAGCTGGACACGACCAAGAAACTCAGAGATTTCTTTACAGTCACAGACCTGAGGATAAGGCTGTTGAGACCAGCCGTTGGGGAGATATTCGTCGATGAGCTGCACTTGGCGCGCTACTTCTACGCGATCTCAGACATAAAGGTGCGAGGAAGGTAAGAGAACGTCTGTCTGCCTGGAATGGAAATGGGTGTGTTCAGATAAAACGCAGGTGGGTTGGTCCCACAGCTGTCAAGTGGCCCTTGTCGATTTCTACTGCAGCGTTTTCTCAGGAACACCGGTGTAGAAGTAGGTTCTAAAGGCACTTGAAACCCTTGGACTCAGCAGTAATTTGTAATCCCAGACTTGCTGTCATTGAACCTGGCAGGATTCTTTAGAATTGAAACAAAAGGAAGACAAAAATGAAAACAAAAAGCTTCTTATTTGAGATGAAAGAACTCCTTGTGTCAGGAGGTGATTGAAGTCTTTAAGGCAATGAAGCTGGGGGAGCAAAGCCAGTTGCTCTATAAAAGGACTGAAAAACAAGAAATGCATCTTATTGTTTTCGAATGCAAGAGAGGGTTTCAACAGGGCACAACAATCTGTTTATGTTTTGTTGTATAGCACGAAGGAATTCTGGAAATGAAAGTTGTATTTGCTTTTAATTTATTAAATCGGAACCAAAAGCATCTAGGAAACAATGCAATTGCTAAAGAGGGACAAGGTCTACTTTTCAAGTTTTGGGATGTTATTACGTTAAAAAGATATACTAGCGTTAAAAATATGGGCCTGAGTCAGGCTCCCTTCATTTCGTAGATCAGTTACAAATGGACCAGAGTTTGAACGCAGTAATAGTCACAGTCAGGGATACCTTTGGTTTTAATAATATACCAGAGACACAATAGAGCAAGTTGCCAAGAATGTTGAAGAAGTTTAAATTAAAAACTTGAATAATGAGAATCAGGACCACCAACATAGAGGCTGTCAACCATCTTTTTAAGTGTGGTATATTATCAGAATAACCAACTGATGAGAGTGGAAGGCTGAGATAGTGAGTGGAAAACTAAAGAATGGAGAATCCAGCAAATGAGAAAAAGGGAAAGACGTGCAAAGCAATACTAGGCCAATGAAAATACCACGATAGTTTTAAACCAAAATATGTGAGGATGAGGATATAAACGGCATGTATACCGTATAGGCTTCATTATGCAGTCAAAGAATTTAAACAGATGAGGCAGAATTCAATTTGGGCTTCCAGCATCCCTTAAGCAGCCCAGTCCTCAGAAATTGGAGAACTGTTGAGACTCTCTGGTCTTTCAGAGAGTTGCCTCACCTGTGTGTGCTAAAAGAAAGAAGAAGTCACTGCTGTTAAGGTAAGAACCCTAGTGGACACAGAATAGAGTGGGGGGCTTGGCCTCTCAGAATAGAGTCAAAGGTTTCATAGTCTTAGCTATGGAAAAGGAGCAGAAACTGGTGGCCACCTGCTCGCAGCTTTGTTCTAGCTTCATGATTTTCATGGAAGAATCAGGAATCTTTAACTATGTAGCCTTTTTAAAAATGTTAACTAAGGTCTTGGTGATATATCATGAATATATCTTTAAAGCAAAATAATATTTTTGAGAGAAATAAGCACTGATATAATATTGAGCTTGTGGGTTCCAGAGTATAGAACAGTTCATGTATTATAAGCAGGGTACCATGACAGGGCAATATGGAGCTGTTGCCTTAAACATGTTTGCTATTTGTAGTAGAATAAAGCTATTTTATCATGAACATTTTAACAAAAAATTATCCATTTCCAGTATTTTATTCTTGGAGATATATGATATATGAAAATGATTGATGTTATATTATAAATAATAGCATACACAATGAAGTAACAAGTATTCAATTTATCTACAAGAATAAAGGTCAAGGGCCGGCCCGGTGGCGCACTGCTACAGTGCGCCGCTCGGGAAGCGCGGCAGTGCTCCCGCCGAGGGTTCGGATCCCACATACAGACCGGGGCTCACTGGCTGAGCAAGGTGCGGGAGCAACACGAGGGTTGCGATCCTGTTGCCGGTCCCGGTCCAGTACGGGCGCAACACTGAGGGTTGCAA